TACTGTTCTCCCCTCGGTCGAGAGCACTGGTCGAGGGACCGAGGTCGTGGCGATTAAGAGCGACCACGAAATTTTCGATTCGGAGATACTTCTCACTAAGGTCGTAAAAGCGGGTGAGGGAAACATCGTCCTTAGATTGTAATTTTTTCCACACGTCAGTCTGCGGGCAAACCCTCGCAATAATGAGATTTCGAACAGACTCTTCGGGAGTGTGAGCCACTTTGTGGAGTTCCCTGTGGAATCTGTCTATGTAAGACTAGAGGGATTCATTCCTCTCTTGCCGTATGTTGCTTAGATAACTTAAGGACATCGAGAACTTCTTGTTCACCTGGAAGTGCGTCAAGAACGATGAGCTCATTTGTTGCCACGAGTTGATAGATCTTACGGGAAGTGATCTGAACCAGCGCTTGGCATGGGCAGTCAGAGTTACTGCCAAGCAGCGACATTTGGCCAAGTCGGAGACTTGATGGAGTTCCATGAGGTCATTGAATTCGTAAAGGTGATCCTGCGAATCAAAATTCCCATCGAATGCCCGCATATCAGACATTCTAAATCTCGACGAGAGAGGGGCATCTAACACTGTTGGAGAAAAGAGATACGCCTCGGCGACCTTCCCACGCTCATTTTGCTGACCTTTAAGCTAATCCAAAACTCGCTATAATTCTTCAATCTGAGGTAGTGGAGATACCTGCGGATCATTTTTCGCAATGTGGGTTCGACCCTTATGGTTGCAGTTGAGGAAAGACCACAAATCAGACTCTTCCTCAACTCGGTCGGAAGCTCCGAAAAACATTGACACACACTAGCTGGGGCCATGTGAAGGCATTGAAGGGCTTGGGGAATTTTCCTAACCTCCATGGTAGGCAGAATTGACTCGCGAACAACGGGGGTTTCCCGCATGATGATGGTTGAGATCAACATTTTGGCAATATTGGGAATCTCCTTGCCTTGCACTTTTGTGGGAGTGCCCATGCGATGTGGCGTGGGATGACTCATGCTGCGACATGTCACCAAGTAGCAATGCCGTGGGTATTCTACCCGTTGCACGACCGGTGTTCGCTAGTCCCTCAGAGCCCTTCGGCCTACTGTTCGCCACTTGCTTTCCCTTCCTTTTACGCGTTGCAGTGCGTGCGGTACAAGTTTCTCCCTTTTTCGCGCTTTCGCACGACCTGTAGGTAATCCATCACGACTGGGTCGAGTTATGAGCTCGAAGGAATATCTGCCATGGCACTCTGCTGGACTGGAGGCACTTCGGGGGAAGTGTCATCCTGTACCCGGGGGATCTCCTCATTGTCGAGGTTGGTTCGCTCAATTTCAAAACCACGAGCCATTTGCTGATGGATAGGACTGATCGATCAGAGATTCCTGATGAAGAGCAAATACTAAATTAGATCCTCTTTCTAGCGCCAAGCTGTTGATGCTTGATTTTGACACCAACGACTCACACGTGTAAAGTGCTAAGCGGACTTAGAGATTACACGTGATATGAAAATGTACAACGAAAGATTAAACAAGAGACAATTTTTAAAGTGGTTCGGATGCTCAAAAGCGAATTCTACATCTACTATAGTTGTATTAATGGGTGATTACAGTCAAGTCGCGTACAGCGAGCTGAGTTACAATCTAGAGATGATTTAAATACAGAGAGAGAGAGTCTGCTTTTGAAAAGTAAAAATGAGTGAATCCCCTAAATGAGAGAGGAGCCCTCTATTTATAGTCGAGAGATTCAAAGTAATAATCATGATTTTGCAGTCGGGGCAGGTGTGGTACAATTCCTAAGCCGCTTCCCATTGGCTGACGTACATGAGATATCCTTAAATCGAATAGGGCTTGGATAGGAGGACAATTCCTAGCCACTCACAAGCCAAGCTTTCACCTCCCACACTGATGACAACCTTACCTCTTCCATCCTTGCGTGACGTGGCAGCATTTGGATGGCATAAAACCTTTCTGAATTCTGATTGTTCTTTGCTAGTGTAAGCTTCCGTCAGCCTTGATTTTCTAGGCATAACAAAGCTTAACTTTGGAAAGATTATAATACATAAAAGACTCGAATTTTAGACAGACAATTGAGAAATCTGTTCGGTAACTGGTGGCTGTGTGTATTTGGATAGCCTCCACAGTAATGAAGTTTAGGTTTCTTCTTGGTTAGAATATTCGTTTTTTTTTTTTTTTTAAATATACTTTTAGTCTATATTTGCTTTTTCTTTTCGGTGGTTTGACTTTGCCGGTAGAACAATACAATTTTTATCAATCCAAATTCCAAAGCTAAATAATTTATTTTCATTAACTTAGAAAAAAAAAAGTAATTAATGGCTTTCATATATATATTTTTTTAAATTTATTAAACTCATTAATTTTCACTCACTTTTAAGCTAGGAGAAAAGTAAAATCCCTGTAATTTAACCCTGTCAATCCTTTAGTTGAAAGGATTACTGATTATCAATTCTAAACCTCATCGAGTCTGTTGATTTTATATACCTGATTTAACTTCCATAATCTAGATAATTAATGACAACCAAAACGTTTAACGAGCTATTTTTAAACTTTAAATAAATTAATATATTCTCTTTATTGTGAATTTTCATAAGAAAAAAAATAATTCAAAAGCGGATTCAAATCACCAAAATGAGATGCAGCAGTAGGCCGGTGGGGAGTAAATGAGTGAGTCAAGAGCAAGACCACAGTGCCCCCTAGTCGTATTTCCGATTAGTTTAATAAAAGCTCGACTGTGGCGGCACGTGCAGAAGTCATGCAAAATGATGAACGAAACAGTAGGAAAAAGAGAGGGCTTGTGAGAAAGAGAGACAGTTTCCTATATTCGCTGTCATCGGGACTCATCAAATCCCATATCATCTTCTCATTATTTTTATACATCAAATCCCATTTTGTACTATCAACATTATGCTTTGTTGTTTTTAAGAAAAGGGTTTTAGTTTTAGTCCAGTCCAGTCAGTCTCTTAAAAATTAAAATTTTAGGTTGCACATAGATCATCACAAACTAAGAGAAAGAGAGAGAAAACAGTGTGTGTCATCTGATTCCCTTCCCTCCTGTAGATCACAAATTAAAATGCTGCCTCATATTCAAGACCTACTACCCTCTTCATTTCATTTTCACATTGCCATTCTCAGATCAGATCACATTTATTTCTTTCACTCAAATTCATCAAACATCAGCGACTTTCTTTTTTCACTGGGGAAGTGAGGTTAGTTTTCTTTACTTTTAATCTCTTTTCTTGATATGAACCATGCATGAATCTTCAACTTTGTTTTCATTTTGCGATGACTTGCAACAGTGTAGATAACATTAATGCGCCATTGTTTAATTTCTTGTCGCTTTGGTTCATAGTCTATGGGGCTATGGCGTATGCAGTTTCCGTGAAATAAGGCTCTTTGCTTGGTTAGAAATGGCAAGAAAATACTACTGTTTAGTATTTTGACAGGACTGGACTTAATTTGTGGATCCCATTTGGTTTGTGTGGGGTGAGAATGCAATATTTAAGAGTTTAATCTTTAGAATAATGATTTCTGGTTAAAGCAAATTATCATGTATGATTGCAGAGAGTTTGCTTCTGTCATTCTGAACAAAAATCATATTAAGGGTTGAAGAAGCCACTGGGATTTGGTTTAATTTGTTCGATGATTTGGTTGCAGTAAAATATTGAAGATTAAAAGAAGTGGCATCTTTAAATGCTGGTCAAACCTAGCTTTCTGCTCTTAAGATACTCTTAATTATAAATTAGTTTTGCAGATTCCCAGTAGATTTTTAATTCTATGTTAAGTTAAACAAATATTATTTTATAATATAAGGTTTCTTTATTGCTTTTTCATCGTGGCCCATCAACTTATGCAGGTAAAGTTTACTGTGTCCCATGTGAAGCAGTTTCATCAGTAAATTTTATAATATAACTATCAGACATTTGTTTATTTATTGTTTTTATTTTTTCACAATGCTTTAATTTACAAGACAATGATTCTTTCTCATTTTGAGTTTTATTCCAACAAAAAATTATATTTGTCATTAATAATTTGTATATATATATTTTTTTCTGATCTATTTTCATTCAACTAAGTTTAAGATCATTGTGTATGTGGAGATGTTAAGATAAAGTCAAGTAGGAGAGAATCTTTAACCAATTATTATCGCCCACATGGTACAAGATTTAAAAAAAAAAAAAAAAGAGATAAAATTTAATCCAAAGAAACTATATCCTAAATTAATTTATTATTAGTAAGCACATGTGACAACATATTTTAACAATTTTAGATGAAATTAGATGGGATCTAAAGCCTCCTAATATGCAATGCAATTACTTGTTAGTTCTGAAAATGAACTGAAAGGCTTATTAAAGGTGAGCGATCAAATGGATGGGGTAATATCTTTGTAGAGGGCTTATTAAAGGTGATGCGTTTTGATGAAAATTCAATTGTCAGAGAAAGAATTGTTGGAAAGCTAAAGAGTGATAGATTTTATTTAAGGGAAACCAATGCACCCAAGTTTAACATTAACTGGGCAACTCACTTGGTGTCTGGTCTCACTCACAATTCCATTTTCAATCTCTCCTTTTTCTCTCTTATCTCACATCTTTCAGCTACATTGATAGACATTTCAAAACCATCATAATTAACATCCTCAAAATGAAAAATATTATTAGTAATACTAATCCAGATATTAATTTATTAGAAGTGTGTAGATGAGGAAATAATACATTTTTTTTTCATTTAAAGCATTTCCATTGTTGTCAACTGTAAAAGTAAGGGAGGTTTAGGTCAAATCATAAAAATGAACCAAATTTGCTCTCCAATCAATAACCAGTCCTCTTCATTAATCAAGACAAATTCCAAAGCAAAATAAAAAAAATAAAATTTATTTACTTACTGTCTCTGATACTCAACAAATCCGAGTCCCAATATCATTTTCATCTCTCTCTCTCTCTCTCTCTCTCTCTCTCTTTCCCTCTGTGTCTGTTGCTTTTTTGCTACTGGGATAAATGCATGGAGGACTTTATGTTTTCTTTGTACGTGCGACATTAAAGTTCAAAGTTAGCACTTGAAGATCATAAGAGTTATGGCTATGGTGTTGATCTTTTTGCAGGTGTTGAAGTTGAAGTACTGATAAGTATATCATCATTCATCATTCATCATTATTCATCAAATGCAGGAGAACCCACCTCGAGTGTCACGTAAAGAGGGGATCCAGGGAGCCGGAAAGGGAGGAGGAGGGCCCACAAGGAGGAATAGATACGCCGTTGCCGTTGATGACAGCGGAGATTTGATAGAGTGTTCCGGCAAGTATTGCAGATCATGCACAACGGGGTTGGTAGCCGATTGTGTGGCGCTCTGTTGCTGCCCGTGTGCGGTGGTGAATATCTTGGCGCTGGCTTTTGTGAAGATTCCGTACATGGTGGGGAGGAAGTGTTTGGGGTTGGGGAAAAAGAAGAGAAAATGCAAGAAAGTGGAAGCTTCATCATCATGTGGGTTTGTGGTGGAGAGAAATTATGGGGATTTGAACAAGGGCAAGTTAGAGATTGAATCATTTGGTGAAGATGAAGAAGAAATGGATGGGAGTGTTCACAGTGCAAGATTGGAAGCAGAGAGGGTGTGGTTAGAACTGTATCAGGTTGGTCATTTGGGTTTTGGAAGAATTTCTTTCACTGGAATTCAATCCCAAGAAAAGGAAAATTAAGGAACAAAATTTGTGATATAGATTACTATTATCATTGTTGTTGTTTTGGACTGTGAAAGTCCCAATTTTTTACCGTTTTCTGGGGTATATTTACGCTTGAGTTTCAGTGATCCATGAATATTGAGAAGCAATGTATTGAAAAAAAGGATTTTTCCAGTGAGAAAATTTTCTTTTATGTGAAATGATATTTTACATATATAGGTATCATTTAGAACTAGTCTACACTACTTAATTACTGCAATAATCCCAATTGAGAGAAGAAGCATAAGGGTAATTAACTATCTCAAGTGATAACAAAGAATCTGACAAATTTTTATTTGAATGGTAGATGCAAAAATATTTGAAGATTTATCCTAAAATCTTGTGTTATATACATGAGGATGAGTTTTGGAATTTTGTTTGGTGAAGATAAAATCTTTGGCATGTGAAACAAGATCACCAGATGTCAGCTTATTTCATACTAATTTTGCACTTAAAACCTTTTCCTTTGTGGGTTAAAGAATCATTTGAAAACCACCTCATAAATTTTCTTTCTTCAGAATGTTTTAAGTTTTCCACCCATTTACTTAATTAACTCAATTCTCTAAAACATTTTGATTAATATAAGTATGTAAATCATGATTAAAAAAAAAATTAAATTTAGAATATTGATTTATATTATAATAAAAAAATAATTTTCTAAATTCTTTTATTTGCGTAATTTCTCATAATAGGAACAAAAAAAAACAACTCTACGCCTTTCGCGGCAAATGATTACCACTCTCTAGAACTTGACGGTTGGCAACTTGGGCCGGTACATGTTAGTATTCAGTCCCATTTAATTACTAAAATGAGCTTAGAGTACAATACGCCACATTCGTATAAATGATAAATCCCTCCATTCTTGAAGATTGAACAAGCAATCGAAGAGAAAACACACACGCAGCAAGATATTGTGACTTGACTCGGTTACTGAACACTAAGGAAGTGAGTTGAAATGGGGAGCTCGGAACCGACTCGGATACTGGTGGCTGTGAGCGAGTCGACTATCAAAGGTTACCCGCACGCTTCTATAAGCAGCACAAGAGCTTTCGATTGGACTATTGAGAAGATCGTGCGCTCTAACACTTCTGGTTTCAAGCTTCTCTTCCTCCACGTCCAAGTCCCTGACGAAGACGGTTCTCTCTCTTGTTCTCTCGTTAAATTACGTATTTGTATTTGTAATTTGTGTCTTTGTGTTTATTTATTTGTTTTGTATATGCTGGTTAGGGTTTGTGAAGTTGGAATATGTGTGCGTTTTAAATTGATGAGAAATTGCGTTGGTTGTGTTGAAATGAACTTGCAGGAGTTGTTAAAGTAAGTAATTAGAGAGCTAAGGCTATGAATTTGAGCGTGAATTTGATGGATTATTGTTTTTATTATGATCTGTGTTGTTTGGAAATGGAGTATAGGAGAAGGAATGAAGTAATCGGAACGTGATTATATTGTGGTGGAGTGATTTTCATAGAAAATTGAAATGTTCAGCTGATGTTGTTTGTATGATTGATTGTTCTTTTATAAAATCTGTTAGCAACCAAGAGAATTGAAATAATTTGAAATAGCCATTCTTTGGTTCTAGAAGTTGCACTTAACTTACATGTACTTGCTATTGTTAAGTATATAGTTTTGTAGCTTTAAATTTTGAAGTGAGTTCATGAAAAGAAAGGTTAAAGAAAGGGGGTTCTTCATTTTCATGCCAAACTCATCAGTATAAATAGTACGTTTACTAGTGTTGTAATTTTTATTACTAATCAATGTTCGGTAGAGAAAATCAGAGTAGCAATCCATTGCTTGAACGAAAAATATATATCTTTCTTTGGCAATGAAAAGGGGAATGCGGACATGTTGGGTTCTGTTCAATCTAAATTACTTAAAACCATGTGCACTGCCCATGTAAATTGTAAAGAATATCAACATTCGGGCCAAGTGCTAACTCCATTTGGAACAGGGGAGTTAACTATGACCTCTTTAACTTACACATACCAGAACTGTATAAGTATGTTTTGGTCAGTCTTGAACCATAGAATAGTTTTTACATTTGTCTTTCTTTTTGATGGCAGACACATGATAGACATGATTCTCTTACATGACTTCAGTGTCCAATGATATTGAGAAGGGAAATTTTGTTCGGAAAGTTCACTACAATGTATATGATTTATAACTCTCTCCTTTTGTCTGTACACAAGGAGAAATTTTAGTAAGGAAGATTACCTTAGAAAGTGTACTTTTTATGTGTCTCTGTCAGTGTAGATATGTTAGATTGTATTAGTTCTTCATATTTTTTAATTTTTTGTCTTGGTTTTGACGAACAATTCATTCAATAATTCTTCTTTGATGAATTTAAATCAAATGTCTTTCTGTATAAGTTTGACATTCTTAATTGCTGATTGATACTTATCTCTCAATGAAGGATTTCTTTCCTTTTGGTGATGAAATTGATTGGATCTGTCATCAAATTTTTATGTTGAGGTTTAGTTATATTGGTTTAGGAGCACTGCTCTGTATTTGTATTGATGACATGAATAATGACATATAGATATAGTCAATTTATTTTAAATCTTGCAATAAGAGGGCTCCTTTGGTTTTATGTATTTCAAGTGGTTGGTCCTGTATGTTGTATTGAGCATGCATAGTATGTCTATGGGCAGCTGAAGCCTTGAAGTTTTCTTGTCTTTTGGAATTTCAAGGATTTTCTTTACCATTCTTTGATTGATCCAAATGGATAAGAGACGGAAGTTTCTGAAGTCAATTTCTGAAACTTTTTTTTTTTTTTTTTTATTGTAAAGGTACAGTCTTAGTGCTCTTATCACATTATGACATTTCTACTTCGTTAGTTGCATTGTAACTATTTGCCTTCCTTATTTTGTATCTACTGCTATGTTGCATATATATGAAGAATGTTACTTGACATGGTATATTGTAACATGATTTGGCTAGGCTTTGATGATATGGACAGTATATATGCATCTCCTGAGGATTTCAGAAACATGCGGCACAGGGACAAAGTAAGAGGGATTCATCTGCTGGAGTATTTTGTTAACAAATGTCATGAGATCGGGGTAATGGATTTATTCTTTTCTCATTTTTTGACCCTCCTCTCTCTTTCATGTGCACTTAGACACATGTACCACTCATTCCATCTATCTATGGCAGAATGAATATTTTGGGGGCAACTTGAACTTGTTGTAGTTTGATTATTTCTATTTCCATTTTCACATTGCATAGTTATATTGTGTAAATATCAAAATGCTTGTAGATTGCTTGTGAATCATGGATCAAGAAAGGAGATCCCAAAGAAGTTATCTGCCGTGAAGTGCAACGAATCCATCCGGATCTCCTGGTTGTGGGAAGTCGGGGACTTGGCCCTTTTCAGAGGTATGCTTATTCATTGTGCTTATAGATAGTCAGTTTATGTAGTTGATGTCGCTTCTTGTATTCTTTTATACTATTACTAAAATTATTGGACTCAATTTCCTTTTCTTTTATCATTTTGAAACTACCAGAATCATATCTAATTACATTTCTGTTTCATGAATTTCCTTATGGTTTTACAGGAATGGTCATGACTTAATATCATGATATACATGATGCATAAGTCAAAATTTCCTTACCTAAGAATTTATTATGGTTAATGTGTTTTGCAGGGTTTTCGTTGGTACCGTGAGTGAATTTTGTGTGAAGCATGCTGAGTGCCCTGTTATAACCATTAAACGCAGAGCAGATGAAACTCCTGAAGATCCTGTTGATGACTGATTTTATCTGTGTTTCGATTTCCTTATCTGTGTTGATAGACTTTGGACAGCGAAGAATCAGTTTGGGAAATATAAGATGTATTGTTTGAGATTGTCTTGGCCATTTGTTGACAACATATACTGTGGATGAATATGATTATTTGTAATTCATCAATGGTCGTGGGTTTGCTATGAAGTTCCTTTCGGGCGAACTCTCAGTGAATGAAATCTTTGTAAATTCTGCTATTTATGTCTGTCGCCATCTGGCTTGCCAAACATGTTATGGTGCTTTGTAGCAGTCACTGGTTCAATCAGAAAACTCCACCAACGCAGTATAAATAATTATATAATATACGTATAAAATAATTTATGTTGAAAACATGGATACGAATTATAATGTGATACACTTCCATCACTGAAATTATTTAAATTATTTGAGATTCCAAATGATACACCGCTCCACTCAATTTGTAACCGTCTTGCAAGAACCAACGAGGGTATAACAGGAATTTAATAAATTTGCCCCACCATTTTGGCGCCAAAACGATTACCTCAGTTCCCACATGCTGCCTCCGAATCTTAAACTAACCGACTGGCCGTTATCCCATAACTAACAAGGCCAACGTTAGCAAACAAACACCAACACACAATATAATCACTCACTTCACTGCCTATATAAGTCTCTGGCTTCTTGATTTTGTGGAAGATTATTGTGATTGAGAGCGAGTTGAGATATGGAGAGGACAGAGAAGACTAAGATAATGTTTGCAGTGACAGAGTCGAAGCGCCATGGCTACCCTCACCCCTCCGCAATCAGCAGAAGAGCTGTGTTCTGGACTCTTGAAAAGATCGTTCGCTATAACACAAGTGGTTTCCATCTTTCCTTCATCCACGTCCATTCCCCTGCCGCTACTTGTATGTAGTCCTTTGTTGTACAATTAGGTTTCTGTTTGTTTGTTTCTTGAGAAAGTGAAAGAAAAGTAAATGATTAACTAGAACTTGATAAATTTTGAGGTTATCTAACGTTTTTTCTTTTTCCATGAAAATTGTAATTATCTTGTCCTTCGATCGATTTCAACTACATTTGCATGTTCTCTTTGGAGTCAAATGTATCGGATGTTATGTAATTTGTGTAATTTTCTGAGCGTTAATCGCATGTATGTTTCCAGCGTTCCGTCCTCCGCGTCCATCCGCCTGGCTCCTCTCTTATGTATTCATTTGTTGTAACTATGTTTCTGTTTGTTTTGTTTCTTGATAAAGTGAAAGAAAAGTAAAGGAATAACTAAACCTTGATAATTCTTGAGGTGATCTAAGACTGTTTTCCATGAAAATTGAAATTATTTGTTTGTCGATCGATTTCAACTACATTTTCTTGTTTTCTTGTGAGCCAAATGGATCGCAAGGTTATATAATTTTATGTAATTTCCTTTGCATTAATTACACGTAATTGATGTTTACAGTTAATTATATATCTTGTGTTCTGTTTGGTCCCTCAGAAAATGGAGAAAATTAATAACAAGTACTAGTTTAATCTCGAGTGATTCACTCTCTCCAGGGAAACCTATCCTTCATCCTCTGTTCCGAATTAAAACTTAATTTCTTGTACATGTTTAATTCCTTGGAAACCAAAAATGAAAAGTGCGCACATTCTTAATGTTAACCTTTACCTTAGCATAGCTTGATTTATCTTATTTGATTTTGTTGTTGACGGTGCTTTCTTTTTCGTATGAATTAACCACATTCTGTATGCATACACTACTATAGTAACATTAAAGGAAGTTCTTTCGGGTCTGAAGAACAATTCATTAGATAGTTTCGTTATATTTTTACTGAAAATTTCAATCAAATAAAATTACACTAAAATGTAGTTATGCTTGAATTGAAAATCAATAATTGCTTGTTTAAGTTTTCTTTTCTTTTATTTTAGCCTTTTAGGCAAAGATTAAGAGATTGGAATAGTAGAATTTAGACTTAAAAGAATCTTAGTTTCTTTTATAAATATTCCTTTACAGTATGTGCTTAATTTTTTATTTAATAATCTCAATACTTAATTAAATGGTTTTAATAACTTCATTATTAAAACCATGTTCCTTAAATTTTTCTCATGCTTAATTCTATTAATTTTTTTATGCATACAAGTCAAATTTCTAAGGTGCCGTTGGACTTATATTTTAAGCATGTACAAATCACATATGTTCCTTAAATTTGTCTTTTGTTTTGGAAAAGGGAAATTCCCTTATAGAAAACTAAGGGTGTATTATTTACAGTATAAGTTATACAATTTGTTGTTTCTGAAAATAAGAGTTTGTATTTGAACTGTTTTTTAAGAAGAGTTAGGGATTAATTTGTTTTACAATATGCACTTCCATTTCTCTAAATGGGCGATTAATTAGATGAAGCTTAATCTTTTGTAATACTTGATCTATCTGACCTGATACTGCTGTGTGCATGTATAATGCATAAATATGAAGAATTAATATTACTTGTACTATGTTTTGGGCAGGTACACAATTGGAGAAGAACAACTCAAACGGAGATGCACTGCTGCAGTATTTTATCAACAGATGTAATTCGCTGGAGGTAATGGATTACCAGTTTCTTCTGGGCAGATTCAATTTGTTGCATAGTTATTATTTTCCCTTAATACATATATATATATATATATATATATTTAATTTCAGTATAACTTATTAATTTTATGGCAATGCTTGTAGATTGATTCTGAAGCAATCAACAGGGCAGGTCTCAATGTGAGCAAAATTATCTGCAAAGAAGCGAAACGAAAAAATGCAGATCTTTTGGTTGTGGGAGGTATAGCACGTCAACGCACTAGTCTTGATCTTTGGAAGAGGTATTATATATTTGTATTTGATGTTCACTTCAGTAAAATTAATTTTTTGTGTGTTTGAGGAGTATTATTTTATTTTATATGTAGCTGAGAATGAGATTTATACATAAATTTGCAGGATTTTTTCTGCTGAGGTGATTGAACATTGTGTGGGGCATGCCAAGTGCCCAGTTCTGACTTACAGACGCAGTGAAGATGATAATAATGAGGATGAGATTGATTATGATCGGGTGGCCGGTGGTCAGCGCCAGGACTGAATTCGTTTTTCATCTAAATTGAACTGGGGTTTTTGTTTCTAATTTCATCAAACCATGCATGAATGAATCAGGACATGGGAACACAAAAACTGAAAGCTATTTTGTTTGAATCAGCTTTAGTGTTGTCGGCTGAGCCTATCGCTATATGCATGGTTTCAACACTTAGTAGATTTCTGTTTTGGACTTAAAACTGATCTCAATAATATTCTGCCGATATGACTATCATATTATGTTTAGCTAATTTTCCGTTAACCTTGTACGTTTCACAATGTGAGTTTAATGTATGTTTTTAGGTTCAATCTCCTTCGTGGAATGTGTCCTGTGTCCAGTTACCCAAGTATAAAACTGAAATCAGGACTTCATAAACACATTTTTTTTTTTCAGAATGAAGGAAATTAAATTCCCACTTATGATCTTCATCTCCTTGTGAATGCAAGGCTTAAGGTAACTAGTTGTTATTAGGTAAATCCATGCGTTTTTGCATTCTTTGCATATTCAAGTACAAAATTAATATGTTCATAAAAATTCTCGAGTCTTGAGAGGGGTAAGCAAATGGTTGGTCGAATAGGTTTAACCCAGACCATAATAAAATTTGTCCAAGTCTTCTGTCTTTCCATGAAGTCTATTTCCTAAAAATTTGTTTATACTTTTTCTGTTCACTTCCAGTCAAGACGCATAATGACTTAGATGTTAAAGCATCATTTAAGTATTAGCATATACGACAGTAAGATAATAAAGTAAATATGTATTAATTCGTAATAAATTAAATTGTAATAATTTGTTTAAAGTAACGATAATTCTTTCATTGCCGATCAAAATTGATAAACTATAAAGTTAGCGAAGATTAAAGATTATATTGATTGTTGAAGCTAGCTTTTTTTTTTTTTTTTTTGGGAAGAGGGGTTGAACATTAATTCTTGTTTGGAATTGCAAAACCGTTTCACACTCCAACTGTTAGGGTGATGGCTTCATACGGTAATGTTTTATCATTAAGTGAAACGACGTCGTTTTGAGCCAAGCAAAGATTAATCCTGTCCGTTGACTGGCTGAGCATCCAACGGTGGCAAATCAGTCTGATAGTCAACAGTATAAAAGCACTGCAACAGTCTCTTCTCAAAACAGTTGAACCCTTTTCTTCGTGTTTTCTCTTTTTCTCTGTAAAACGAATAGCCTCCTTTAGGGTTTGGGTATTGTCTTGATCGTGAATCTTGTAACAGGGTGTTTGAGTGGCTGGTTTGCAGGCCACTTGAGGGTACTAGAGTTTGCAGTGTATCTTGGGTGTTAGATCTGTTTTTGTAGGGTATTACGGGTTCTGTAAAGATCTGGTTAAGGGTTTGATTCTTGGTCAATTGTGTTCTACAATCTTGATCAATATAGTGCAGCGAGCTCGCTGGTTTCCCGAGCTCAACGTGGACGTAGCTTGCTCATATCCGAGCAAGTGAACCATGGTAAATCTTGGTGTTGTGTGTGTGAATCTTTTTGTGGTTTTTGTGTTTGCTTTCTAGTTGATCTGTTGCAAGTAGGTATAACAGTGGTATCAGAGCCATTTCTCAAAGGCTAGGGTTTCTTTACGAAAATTAGGGTTTTGCAATTTTGGGGATTTTGCAAAATTAGGGTTTCGTGAAATTAGGGTTTCTGAAAATTTGGGACTTTTCGAATCTGTGATTCCCTGAGTCTCCAATAGGATCTAGGGAGTCAAATCTAGGCTAAGTTTAAAGGTATAAAGGCTGGAAACGAGTAACCGCCTTAAAAACTGTCTGACAGTATTTGGCAACATCTGGTATAACAACGCCGCGTACCTCTTAGGCCTTTCTTTCCTATCGTTTCAGAAAAAAAAAATGAGTACTACTCGCATGGAGATCTCCCAATATGATGAGAAGATCGATTTCGGGAGTTGGAAAAAGAAGATGAAATCTCTCCTCTCACACAACAAGGTTGCAATTGCACTGGAAGAAGACACCAAGAAATGGCCAGAGGAAAAACCGACGAAGAAGGAGGAGGTTAATGAAGAGGCTTACAATCTGATCGCTCTGAATTTTTCAGACAGTGTCCTCAGAAAGGTAGATGGTATCGAATCACCACTAGAACTGTGGAGTAAACTCAATACTTTGTATGCTTTACAATCTGCTCCTAATTTAGCTTTCTTGAAAGGTACTTTATTTTCTTACAAAATGGATAGTTTTAGGAGTATAGAGGACAACTTAGACGAATTTATTAAAATGACTCTGATCCTTAAAGGAACAGATCAAGAATTAGGTAGTACTAGCCTTGCTATGATCCTCTTGAACTCATTGCCTGATGACTACCAAGTAGTCAAAAATGCATTACAGTACACTAGTACTATACCAACCCTAGATCTAATAATTGCAGGTATTAAGGCTAGGGAGTTAGAGTTGAAAGTCCAGAAAATGAGTGGGTCTAACCTGTTTGTTAAAACAAAAATGGAGTCTAGTCAGACAAGGAGAAACAATTCTGTGAATAAGGGGAATAGGAACAAGAAAAAATGGAAGGGTAATAACAAGAGTAAAGAAACTAGAAAATGTTTTTTTCTGTAATAAGGCTGGCCATATTAAAAAGAACTGTTTTGAATTGATCAAGAAACAAAAACAAGGGAACACAGAGACAAACCTAGCCACCAGTACAAACCTAGTAGATGAACCTGAGGTGCTTACAGTGTCAATGTCTGACACTGCCAATGAGTGGGTACTGGACTCAAGATGCTCTTTCCATATGAGTCCAAACAGAAATTGGTTCCAGGAGTTTGAGGACACTGACTCAGAAATTGTTTACATGGGGAACAATAATGCATGTAGGGTTAGAGGTATTGACTCTATAACTCTAAGTCTTAGCACTGGAAAGCTGGTTAAACTCACAAGAGTCAGGTATATCCCAGAACTAAAAAGAAACCTGATATCACTAAGCACCCTAGATGAAACAGGCTGTAGTTATAAGGCAGAGAATGGAAGCTTGAACATATACAAAAATAGGAACCTTATCCTGACAGGAGAGAAAAAGAATGGGCTTTAAATACTCTGTGGGAACATATCCTCTAACTGTTTGAACTCTGTGACTAAGCCTGTCAACCTATCCAACACTAAAAAATGGCACCTTAGACTAGGTCACATAAGCCAAAGAGGCATGGATACCCTGAACAATCAAGGTTAGTTTGGTAAGGATAAGATCTCTTCACTGGATTTCTGTGAGAATTGCATACTAGGAAAACAACATAGAAACAATTTCCAAAAGGGGGTACACCAAGCAACTAGTCCACTTGAGTACATCCACTCTGACCTGTGGGAACTTGGGAGGATTAGAACCTATGGGGTAAACAACTACTTTATGTCCCTAGTAGATGATTACAGCATAAATGTTTGGGTTTACCTATTAAAGACTAAGGATCAAGCCTTAGAAAAGTTTAGGGAGTGGAAACTCTTAGTTGAAAATCAGATGAATAAGAGGGTTAAGGTTCTCAGAACTGACAATGGGTTAGAATACTGCAACCAAGAGTTTGATAAGTTCTGCAGGGATGAAGGGATTATGAGGCATAGGACTGTGAAACACGCCCCTCAACAGAATAGGGTGGCTGAGAGAATGAACAAAACACTCTTGGATAAAGTGAGATGCATGCTTATCACCTCCAAACTCCCCACCTCTTTTTGGGGAGAAGCCCTTACCACCTCTGCCTACCTGATAAATAGAAGTCCCTCCACTGCTATCAACATAAAATGTCCAGAAGAGATGTGGACTGGAAGTAAAACCTGATCTGGGACACTTGAGAGTTTTTTGCTATGCTGCATATGCACACACTGTTGGTGGAAAACTGGAACCAAGGTCAACAAAGTGTGTTTTTCTGGAATACCAAGAAGGAACAAAAGGGTACAGACTGTGGGACAAGGAGTCCCCTGGGGTTAAAGTAGTAGTAAGCCGAGATATAATTTTTAATGAGAGTATTTTCCCTTGTAAAAGTACTAACTCTAATGTAGGTCCAAATCCAAGTGTAAGGGAGAGTTCTAGTCAGCCTAAGACTACACAAATTGAGGTGGAGCTTCCTGCCTAACCTCAACCACTGCAGGATCCTGAAACCACCCAGGAAACTGAAGCTGTTCCTGAACCTAGAGGAGAAGCTGGACATTATGATCCCGAACAAGAGGATGAGACAGAAACAGCTGAAGATACTGAAACTCAGGTTAAAAACTTGCAAGATTAGCAACTTGCAAGAGATAGGGCCAGAAGACAGGTAAGGATTCCCACAAGGTTTTCATATGCTGACCTTATCTATACTGCCCTTCTTGCAGGTACAAAATTGCAGAGAATTGAACCAGAGACTTATGAGGAAGCGGTAAACTTTAAGGAAAGGGATAAATGGAAGGCTGCCATAGAAGCTGAGATGAAGTCTCTAAAGGTGAACAAAACCTCGGCTCTTGTACCAAAGCCAAAAGGGCAGAAGGTAATCCAATGTAAGTGGCTGTTCAAACTGAAGGATGGAGCAACAACTAGAGAACCACTCAGGTATAAGGCTAGACTAGTAGCCAAGGGCTTCACCCAAAGAGAGGGAATAGACTTCAATGAAGTCTTTTCCCCAGTGGTTAAGTATGAAACAATTAGATTAATGCTCTCCATTGTAGCCCACCTAGATTTAGAACTTGAGCAATTAGATGTGACTACTGCCTTCCTCCATGTGGATCTTGAGGAAGAGATCTATATGAACCAGCCTATAGGATTTATAGATCCAAAGACCCCTGACCATGTCTGCCTTCTTCTCAAATCTTTATACGGCCTAAAACAATCCCCCAAACAATGGTACAAAAGATTTGACACATTGATTGTGAGTATAGGTTTCACTAGGAGTAAATATGATAACTGCTTTTATTTTGCCCTAAGTGATAACCTGCCTATGTACTTACTGTTGTATGTGGATGACATGCTAATAATTAGCAAGTCTAAGTCCCTGATTTGTAGATTAAAGGAAAAATTGAGTGCTGAGTTCGAAATGAAAGATTTAGGAAATGCTAAAAAGATCCTAGGAATGCAAATTGACAGAAATAGGCACAAATGTGAGCTGAAAGTGCACTAGTGTTCATATCTGCACAAACTAGTAGAAAAATTTGGAATGGCAGATGCAAAACCTGTTACAATCCTACTGGCCAGCCACTTTACACTGAGTAAATCACAATGTCCTAGAACTGAACCTGAAATGATTAAGATGGAACATATCCCATATGCAAATGTGATAGGATCTCTTATGTATGCCATGATTAGCACAAGGTCTGACTTAGCCTTTGTAATTTCCTTACTCAGTAGGTATATGTCTAACCCTAGTATGGATCACTGGATTGCTTTAAAATGGGTTCTGAAATATATCAATGCTACCTTAAATGTTGGATTGCATTACTGTAAAAGAACTGCTTCACTTGAGTTGGTTGGGTTTGTAGATGCAGATTTTGCAGGTGACAGAGACACCAGGAAATCAACTACTGCATACTACTTTACTTTAGGAGGCAACTGCATTAGCTGGAAATCCCAATTACAGCTGACAGTTGCATTATCCACTACTGAGGCTGAATATGTGACTGTTGCTGACATATTCAAAGAAGCTATCTGGCTAAAAGGAATTCTTAGTGAAGCCAAGTTAACAAGTCAAAGTCCTGTCATCTTTTCTGACAGTCAGAGTGCAATACATTTGAGCAAGAATCCAGTGTACCATGAACGTACGAAACACATAGATGTGAGATATCACTTCGTAAGGGACCTGATCTCAAGAGATGAGATAGCACTTCTAAAGGTTTCAACCGAAGAAAATCCAGCAGACATGGGTACCAAGACAGTCATTCATACCAAGTTCAAGCACTGCTTGAATTTGTTATTCATTCAGTAAACCAAAGTGACCAGAGCAATGAAGGATTCCATAAAGAGTAAGCTGCACTACAGTCACGAATAAACCCATCAAGGTGGAGATTGTTAGGTGATGGCTTCATACGGTGACGTTTTATCATTAAGTGAGACGACGTCGTTTTGAGCCAAGAAAAGATTAATCCTGTCTGTTGGCTGGCTGAGCATCCAACAGTGGCAAATCAGTCTGATAGTCAACAGTATAAAAGCATTGCAACAGTCTCTTCTCAAAACAGTTGAACCCTTTTCTTCGTGTTTTCTCTTTTTCTCTGTAAAACGAATAGCCTCCTTTAGGGTTTGGGTATTGTCTTGATCGTGAATCTTGTAACAGGGTGTTTGAGTGGCTAGTTTGCAGGCCACTTGAGGGTACTAGAGTTTGCAGTGTATCTTGGGTGTTAGATCTATTTCTCTAGGGTATTACGGGTTCTGTAAAGATCTAGTTAAGAGTTTGATTCTTGGTCGAGTTGTGTTCTGTAATCTTGATCAATATAGTGCAACGAGCTCGCTGGTTTCCCGAGCTTAACGTGGACGTAGCTTGCTCATATCTGAACAAGTGAACCACGGTAAATCTTGGTGTTGTGTGTGAATCTTTTTGTGGTTTTTGTGTTTGCTTTCTGGTTGATCTGTTGCGAGTAGGTATAACACCAACTAAATGAAAATCAATGTTGGTAGTGTGAAATTGAAACATGCCTTTGGTTTTTCAATATCAGTGGTTTCTACATGCATATATTATATTAAGAAACAGTCGCAGCCAAAAAAAATATACAACTCTTCAAAAATGTTCAAAATAACCGCCATTTCACTACCAATCCTAAGCACCCTTCCCTTCCTCCTCCACCTCTTCCTCTTCCTCAGCCATGCAGACTCCTCCCAACTGTATGATGAAGAACATGCAGTGCTAATAAAACTAAAGCAACCACCGCCCATCACCCACTGGACCCCGTCAAACCCCAGTGCTGCACCTGGCCTGAAATCACCTGCACTCGCTATTCCATCACCCGACTGTACCTCAACATCACGAGCATCACCGAAATAATCCCATCCTTCATTAGTGATCTTAAAAATCTGACCCTACCAGACCTACATTACAACTATATTCACGGCCAGTTTCCAAGAGTTCTCTTAAACTGTTCTAAGCTTCCTGATGATATTGATAGCTTATCTCGGCTCCGGTACCTCAGTCTAGGCTCCAGTAACTTTGCATTCGACATATCTGCAAGTGTTTGGTATTTAATGGAGCTTAGAGAAATTAATCTTTATCAGAATCAGTTTAATGGTTCTTTTCCACCAGAAATTGGCAATTTGCACAATCTTGAAATATTAGGGTTGGAATATAATACGAAATTTCTTCCATCGAGGTTGCCATCAAATTTTACACAATTGAAAAAGCTGAGGACTTTGTGGATGGTTGAAGTAAATTTGATTGGTGAAATCCCTTGAAATGACTGGCAATATGACCGCGCTTGAGGTGCTGGATTTATCAACAAGTAGTTTGACCGGGAAAATCCCTAGCGGCATGATCATGTTATAAAATTTGAGGCTCCTATATCTTTACAGAAACATGTTATCGGGGAGATTCCACAAGTTGTTGAATCATTGGACATGACCGTCATTGATCTCTCAGAAAACAATGTAACTGGGAGAATATGTAAAGGATTTTGGGAAGCTTGAGAAGTTGGTACTTGGTAGGCTTGAGTTTAATGTGCAATCAATTATCTAGCGAGATTCCAGAGAGCATTGCGCGAATTCCAACACTGGAAGAAGTTAGACTGTTTTGCAAAAATTTACAGGTGGTCTTCCTCAAGACTTAGGTCTATATACAGCCCTTGTAGGTTTGGAGGTTGTATCCAATAAGCTTACTGGCAAGCTGCCCGAACACTGACGTGCTGGTGGGAATTGTAAGTCTGTTCTATATTAGCATTTACAGAACTAGTTTCAGTGGGAAAATCCCCCTAGGTCTATGGACGGCATTGAATTTAGAAAATATGGGGATAGGTGATAATAAGTTTACGGGTCAGCTTCCTGATAAATTGGGAACGCATCTATCTTCTATTGTGATTAGTAGCAACAGGTTATATGGAAAAATTCCTGCTGGAGTGAGTTTTTGGAGGAATCTGCAGGCGTTCAAAGCCCGCGATAACCCATTTACTAGTTTCAAGGAGATTTAAAAGCTATTAGGGATGTTTCATGTTTGGTAAGTCTTATTGTATGATTAATGATACAATAAATAATTGTTTAAAAATTTAATAAAAAATAAAAATATATAAATTAATGTAATATATGATGCATATAGCAACACATTACATTTCACAGGGTTGGTTTGCTTCACGGTCATATAACATAACGAGAGTAATCTTCGTTTATTTGCAAGATTTCGTTGTTTGGTTTACAAGTAATAAAATATTACGGGTATCTTTTATTGTAAATAGTGTTTATTGTTGATAATATAAGAGGTAATCAGATACCCCAACAGAAGGTGTTATTAAAAAATTATCGAACTAATATGATTTTTATACCTATTTTGCTCTTAATTAAATAGCATTTCGGACACAAAAGCCCTCAAATGTCTACCAAATAACCATTACCCAACCTTCTACATTTGAAAATTTAGCTAAAACACCCCAACCACAAAAAAGTTTAAAAGTTAACAAAATAACCCCAATCATCTAAGACCACCACCGACTGTCGATAACAGTTGCCCTAATGACGAATGATTGGCGAATCTAGCGGTTAAGACCCGTTTCCGACCATAGATATGTGATTCATGGCTTGAAATGGTCATATCTAGTCATGAAATGGCCATAAATCTAGCTTTGAAACGACCGTCGTTTTACGACCGCATCTTTGGTCATGAAACGACCAGATCTACCCGTTTTTTACGCACGACCGACTAGATCTCGTCAGTCGTGCACCATGATGACGACTTCCAGCAGCTGCCAATGGTGGTGGCTAGCTATCGACAATGGCTTGAGGTGGATGGGAGTGATTTTGCTACAAATTAAAGTTTTAAATGACTATGGTGTTTTAGCAAAATTTCAAATGTATGGAGTTAAAATGAATTATTCAAAAAATAATATTATATTAATATTTAAAAAAAGAGGGCAATTTAATAATCTCTATAACATATCTACCTATTTATCTTCACAATAAAAAATATAAATATAACATATTCACCAATTTATTCGAACCAACCAAACACATTTCCTTAAACATTCACAGTAATCTTCAAAGTGATCTATCTTTTCATTAATATAACACCCTCCTATAATAAAACATTATATGATCCAAACGCATTATATAGTATTAATATATTAATACTGTACATCTAATATACTATAGTGCTATTCAATACAATAAAATGCTATTAAACCTAAATTTGAATATCTATAATTCCTGAAGAGGGGAAGCACAAGGGATCAACTTTCATAATTTCGTGGATTTCTGATGCGGGAAGTACTCCGTGAGTCCGTGTATTCACTTTCATTGCGTTCCAGGGCTGAAGGCACTCTGATTCCTTCCCCAGCCCTGTTTTTGGTGAATACGATGCAAGAAACTTCGATATAAATTTGCTTTTCCATAGTGTTTTCTTCAATTTCTAAAAGTTCTTTGTCCGTCCGATAACTAATGATTAGTGCTAATAATACTTTCAGATATCTTCAAAACTCAAAAGCATTTGTTGCTTATATTAGCTAATAAGGGCTGAATAATGAGTTCTTATAATCCAGGCAGTGAATGTTTTGTCATTTCAAAAATGAATCTGATTAATAATAGCCAATAAATTACAAGGGAAAAAGAACTTAGGATAGTCCTTCGGAAATTTCTCATATTCCCACCTAATTATTTTAGGACAGTGGACATATAGAGGCTTTTTTCTTTTAATTTACATGTAATCATCCTCTGATAAATGCTAAGCTGCTTAATACAATAATGGGACACTAAGAACTAAACTGCAGATTTGAAGAACCAAGCAACCCACTAAGAAAGAAAAAAACTCAAGAAAAAAAATTAGATAACTCGTAAATTTTACGAGATCGCATATCTTTTAGAAAATGCAGAAAAGGGAGATTTGAATCTGAAAGAAGTAACTTAATTCGCATTGTTATGATATATTGAACATCGCTAATTTGCAAAGACAGATACACTAAATGTTAACTCTATAAGGATGACCAAACGCAATAGTTCACAACTATAACTAAAGCAAGACCTCTGTATCATATTACCTCCTACACACAGTAAACTTACTCCTACAGCCATACAGCAATCTACGGATAGCAATATTATCTCTACATCTACACATGCATCAGCATTTATGTATAGTAAAGGGTAGATTGCACGAATCGAAAAGCTAGATATCATGCTTTCATCGCCAAATCTAAGACGAAGAAGAACCAACCACAGTGCTTACCTTTTCTAAGAGGCCATTTACCTCGCCCTCTAATTTGGATTTCAAGTCGGGGGACATCTTTCCAGCTGAGTTCTCCAACACTAAGGCAATAGTCTCCAGTTTCTGCCTTATGTAGTTAAATGGTGACGACTCATCAACAGTTGATTTAGAAGCAGATTTCTTTTCTGGGGTCTTGCTCCCCTTAGCTGAAAGAGATTTTGCATTTGATATCTCCTTAAGTTTCCGCATCTTGGAAGGAGAGGAGGAATGCTGAAGCCTGAATTTGACATTAGAGTCTCCAAAGGGCCTGCTGACCTCAGAACTTTTCAAGGCTTCTTCTGCATCGGAGCTTCTTAAAAAAACAATCTGGGCTCTAAAATTGTTATAGAACATTTCTGTTTCTTCTTCATTCAGAGACCCAAACTTGCTATATATTTTGATAAGATCATCTTTTGAAGGCAATGCAGATCCTGGGCCAAATGTCACAGAGAGGTATGCAGGTGAGGCTTTCTCATCTGATTTCTTCTCATCAGCATTTTTATTTCGTGCTGCTTCCCCATCAGTTTCTTTATTGTCCCTCTTCTTATTTTCTAACCTGCCAGCTTTCTTGGGTTTAGACGATTTTGCTTTATCATCAATTTCCCCTTCTCTTGTCTTCACTTCAGGTGCCGTTGCAGCTTGATTGAGTTTCATTGTACCCAATTTTTCTTCTTCATTCTTCTTGAGCTTTTTCCGCCGTGTTGTCTGTTCCGGGGACTTTTGATCAGTTTGATTTTGATGGTTTGCTGAAGAACCAGGTTCACATTCTAGTGTCTTTCTCTTTGTACCAGGCTGACTTTTGTTGTAAATTTGGTAGTTGGATCCATCGCAATAGACTGCGCTTCTTAACTTTCTTTGCATCAATGTTTGTGTTGTGATCTAGTTTTAGTGTTTCAAGACTTAGGACATCAGATGTCTCATGCCCCACGCCAACATGTTTAGAGTCTTTCTTCTGTACCACCTGATCACTACACGAAATAATTGGAGGAGACCCAGACTCAACAACATTGTCAGAAGCCTTTCTCAACTGCTGCGCTGCCTGAGCTTCACTAGAAATTTTCAAATATTCGGCTATCATGTCTTTTTTGCTTTGCCTCCTATTTATATCTGTGTAAGGAGGTGACAGGTACTTGCTCTTTTTCCTTTCCCTTGATAAGAAGCCCTTCTCAGTGTGGTCTTTGGACTCACCATCATCTCTTTGAATCATCTTCCTTTCTCTAGACATAGGGCTGGCATTACTTTCTTCTTTGCTCCCACCACCATCATTGTCGGCACTTGAACCTTTACTCTTCCTCTTCTCCCTTGACAGAAGAACCTTTTTCGTTTCTTCCTTGACCCTGATACCATCCCTTTCATCACTGTGGATTTCACTCCCAGTAACTTGAGTAGTTTCTAAAAGCTTGGTCACTTTCCTCCTCTTTGGTTTAGAACTTGAATTACTCCCAACATTAGCTTCATCATTGCCTTTCCTCTTCCTCCTTCCAGATGATGTCACCGGATTTCCTGTGCCAGTTCTCTCTTTCAATGAATCCTCCCCAACATTTTTAGCTCGATCATCCACATCTCCTTCCATAATTTCAGCAATGCTTTTCTGTTTTCTTCTGTGGTATTGCCCATTCTCTGAAGCCTCAAGGCACTTCTGCAGCAAGGACATATTAGTTTCTTCTTCCACCGGCCCTTGGATAGGGATTTCTGTCATGTTTTTGACATGAATTATGTCCAACAATCCGTTTTGGTCGTTGTCTTCGAGGCCTGGAATCGGCTGAGATTCATGGAATAAAGCCAACTGATACCCCCCTTTTGCACGATAAAAAGCCGACAGCCAGCACTTTAATTCAGTGAACTCAAGCATATTAGTCATCGAAACAACTTGTGCAACGCGTTTCAATTCAGTTAGGCATTCTGATGGTCCAAATAGATAGGTCCAAAGCTTTGAAATTCCACAATCAGGCACAAGAACTCCTTGCTTAATCCCACTATTCATGGTCAACGGTCTTTCAAGTCCAACCAAACTCTCTTTTGGTACACAAGAACAAGTCATCTTCAATTCCATAAGTCTACCAATCTCAGCCACCGCTTTCTGAACAGCACTAACAAAGTTCTTTGACGTACTCTGCTTTGACATTTCCTCAAAATTCTCCACAAAAGGCTTCAACTGGTATGGATGACACCAAGCAAAAGTTCCATCGAAGTATGCCACAAGAAGCCTATCCCTTTTTCTTATCTTCAAGGCATAGTCTGAAGCATAGCAAGAATCATAAACTTGCCCTGGCCACCATGGATGACTCTTAATCTTACCCCAGATGAAATCACCCACACAGAACTCATACTCTCCGTCAATGAAATCATCTTCCTCCTCATCGTTGCTGTCATTCACCTCATCTGGATTTTGCCTATTTTCCTCCCTCTCACCAAAATCCCTAATTTCATTTGCATCCATTTTCCCCATTTCAGTACTGATATCAGCAAGAAGCGAAACGCCATCTTCATCACCACCGCCCATACCATCACCGGCCAATTCAATTACAGCATCCATAGAAGAGGCTGTTCCTTCCGCACTCTCACTAACACCTCCATTTTTAACTTCCACTTCAGTCTCAACAATCTTGGTTTTAACCACTGTAACAACTCCACCCAAATTACCACCACATAAATCTTCGTTACCATTTGTAGAAACCCTAACCCCATTTTCTTTGCTATTTTCAGCTGAACCCACACCAACCATCAACATAGAAGACTTCGAGCTTTGATTTAAACTTCTAACACCGGAGTTCTTAGATTTTACTCCATCCGGCAAATTTTTTTCCATTTTCCCGGAAAACACTAAACTTCCTCAAGAAAACCCACGTAAAAAAAAAATTTCCTTAAACCGCTGTAACATCAAAATTTCAAGAAAGAAGAAAAACGAACGTTAAAACCAACACACAGAATCTAGGGTTTTCCTTTAATACTGAACTAAACAATACCCGCTTCACATGCATTAAAAATAAAACTTTTCAGCAATAAAAAATAAAATTTAAAATTTCTAGCTACTTACATACAAAAAGATAACACTAACAGTATCAAAAACTTTGACCCCCCCAAGAAAATAATAATAATCTACCTGACGAAGAAGAGCTTTCGAGCTTGCACTGTTTAAGAGTAAAATTTCCTCTCCACACCATTTTCAAGAATACGAAAAGAGAGAGAGGAATTGAATTTCAGAAACAACAGAGCGAACAAGTGGGGCTATGGATATAGAAAATCTCTAGTGTTAAAAAGAAAATTACAAAGATAAAAATGTTGCAAGAATTAGGGTTCAGGTAGGCGGTTACTATTACAATTTTTATTTTATTTATAATAAACATCTATGTTATGTTGTCTGTAAGTGAAAGGTCAGGTCCACTTTTTTTACGTGCGCGAGTGGACTTTGATTTTACACTCGCGCTCTATATGACCGCCGATTGTTTGTTGTTTGGTTTCTCCGTGCTAAGAGATAAATTAAATCTTATTGGTTTTAAAATTTTATTAAAATATTTCTTAGGTTTTTTAAATTTTTATAAGGAGATTTACTAATTTTATATTATAATTTTTAATTTCACGCAATTAAACATTTGATAAAATGGTTTTTAGATACCTGTATTGTTTATTTTGCAATTATGAAAATGAATAAGATTATTGTCAATATTTAGTAATAAGTGTATATAAGAATACTTTTACTATATGGTAATTTATATTATGGTTTAAATTCAATAGCTTGTCATATATAGATTCAAATGATTTATTATCATGTTATTTATATGTTAACAATGAGAAAATCTTCGGTGTTAGATAGATTTATGATCAATTAATAAGAGAATGCGTATAAGACACGTACGTTAACGTGACACACCTTTATTGAATGGTTATGAGTATAATTGTGCACCAAATAATTATTTATTAATAATAAATTCAACAATTAATTTCATACCAAAAGTTTATTTATTTTCTTATTATCTTGAATTATGCCAATTTTTGTTAATTTTTTTTGTTTGAAGAAATAGAGGCGTGGATGTGTTAGGGCATAGGGGGCCATTGTTAATCGTTTTTAACAGTGCGATAACGGCAGCAGTAAAAACAAGTTGAAAAGAGAAAGGCTGGTACGTGTTTAAAATGCCGTGACGTTATGGATGATGGCCACCTGGAACCTAAAAGGCAAACAGCAATTTCACCGCTAACTTTGTCATTTCATTTCATGTAACGGTGTCGTCGCTTTGCCTCAACCCTCAAGGAACGAAGTTCCTCGTCACTAATCTAGTTGTGTGGAAGTTAGTTGGGATATGGTGCCTTTTTGTGAGTCAATGATAGAAAATTTAAACGTCAGTAAAAAATGGCTAAGCAAATATTATCAGATTTATACAGAATTTCTCAAAACATTTTAATATTTTATAAAGAAGAAAGAGCAAATAAGATATTCTCACGTAAGGTTTAGCGAAATCCAAGTTCCCACCTTGGTTTCATAAGTTATAGATTCTCACCCTTAATTTAATTTAACGAAAATTATTTAATATTACATTAAATATGAAATAAAAATAAAAATTTCAAAATAATTTTGTTTACACCCTTGGTTTTTGCCCCTCCACCCATCTTCATGCTAGGCTATGCGTGCAGGAGAAAGGACGGGTGCTGGATTGGTTGAGCTGGCTGCGGCAAATGGTTGAATAGGTGGTAGATGAAGCAGCAAGGTTTAAGTGGTGGGAGGCTTGCCGGCGACCATAAATCAACACAACAACAATACTTTAAAAACAACAAACCCCATTGATCAAACACCAATACCCAACAATAAGCAGATGAGAAAGCGACTATCTCGCGACGGCAAGTGCAAGGCAGGGGCAGCAAACGACGAGTGGGGAGGGTCAAAGGCAGACACATAGCCACATATTGGGTTGGGGGTCAATCGAATCCTTTTTGAACTTTTCAAAAATTTCAAAAAAGTATTAATATTTTATAGATTTTATAATTTTAACCCCATTTAATTTTATATTGACCCTACAAAATGAATTATCAATTAATATTTTTTAAATTTGTCTTTTTTTTTTAATTTCCTCTTCTTTTCACTCATGTTATATTTTTCCTTTAATTGGATACTCAAGAAATATTACTCCTTTGGATTACAAAGTAAGATGATGTTAATTTTATTTTTATTTTTTTACTTAAAATTCTTTTCTTTTAGCTTTCTTAATTGATGAAAGATTATGAGTTATGGATTTTTGTTGAGTTTAATAAATGGATTTGAAATAATTTATAGATTTTGATGTGAGTTTTGATTTAATCTTGTTTATGTTGAGGTATAAGTTAATTAATTGTTGTTTTAAATTAAGTTTGATAAATTTTGGTTAGTTTTTGAGTTAATTTTGAATATGGTTTAAAGAATTGATGAAACCTTAAGTTGTAGAGATTTGGAGATTTGGTTTAATTTTGATATATTGGTTAATTGCTTAATATTTAAAGTTAGGTTTGATGACTTAAATTTTATTGGATTAGTAGAAATTGTTTGAAAAACCTAAGTTATGANTTTTTGTGAGTCAATGATAGAAAATTTAAACGTCAGTAAAAAATGGCTAAGCAAATATTATCAGATTTATACAGAATTTCTCAAAACATTTTAATATTTTATAAAGAAGAAAGAGCAAATAAGATATTCTCACGTAAGGTTTAGCGAAATCCAAGTTCCCACCTTGGTTTCATAAGTTATAGATTCTCACCCTTAATTTAATTTAACGAAAATTATTTAATATTACATTAAATATGAAATAAAAATAAAAATTTCAAAATAATTTTGTTTACACCCTTGGTTTTTGCCCCTCCACCCATCTTCATGCTAGGCTATGCGTGCAGGAGAAAGGACGGGTGCTGGATTGGTTGAGCTGGCTGCGGCAAATGGTTGAATAGGTGGTAGATGAAGCAGCAAGGTTTAAGTGGTGGGAGGCTTGCCGGCGACCATAAATCAACACAACAACAATACTTTAAAAACAACAAACCCCATTGATCAAACACCAATACCCAACAATAAGCAGATGAGAAAGCGACTATCTCGCGACGGCAAGTGCAAGGCAGGGGCAGCAAACGACGAGTGGGGAGGGTCAAAGGCAGACACATAGCCACATATTGGGTTGGGGGTCAATCGAATCCTTTTTGAACTTTTCAAAAATTTCAAAAAAGTATTAATATTTTATAGATTTTATAATTTTAACCCCATTTAATTTTATATTGACCCTACAAAATGAATTATCAATTAATATTTTTTAAATTTGTCTTTTTTTTTTAATTTCCTCTTCTTTTCACTCATGTTATATTTTTCCTTTAATTGGATACTCAAGAAATATTACTCCTTTGGATTACAAAGTAAGATGATGTTAATTTTATTTTTATTTTTTTACTTAAAATTCTTTTCTTTTAGCTTTCTTAATTGATGAAAGATTATGAGTTATGGATTTTTGTTGAGTTTAATAAATGGATTTGAAATAATTTATAGATTTTGATGTGAGTTTTGATTTAATCTTGTTTATGTTGAGGTATAAGTTAATTAATTGTTGTTTTAAATTAAGTTTGATAAATTTTGGTTAGTTTTTGAGTTAATTTTGAATATGGTTTAAAGAATTGATGAAACCTTAAGTTGTAGAGATTTGGAGATTTGGTTTAATTTTGATATATTGGTTAATTGCTTAATATTTAAAGTTAGGTTTGATGACTTAAATTTTATTGGATTAGTAGAAATTGTTTGAAAAACCTAAGTTATGAGTTGAATTTTGATAAATTTGTTTTGTTTTTTTAATTGTAATTGCAAATAAATTATATTTTTGATAAATTTTATTATAAATTTATCAACTTTGATGTTTTGAACCCACTGACTCAGAATCCTGACTACGTCTTTGATCAAAGGAGGGATGGGTTTTGATGAAGAGAGGAAAGGGAGTCGAATGGTGCAGACAAGGTTGATTTTCAGTGTGAGAATCGGTTGGGATCTAGCCGAAAAAATGCGAAAGTATAGTGGCTATTGGCCAGCGATTTAAGGGTGCAGTTGTTTGTGGGTTGGCGGTTGGCTGGAAAGGTGAAACACCATGCTCGATCGACGGCAGAAAATTGGGAAAGATGAAAGGCCACGGCCCATTGACAGTAGGAAGTCTGGTGAGGAACGCTGGCTGTATTGAAAAAGAGAAAAAATAATAAGGGTAATTTGGTAATAGCACTATCTATATTGTGTTAGAACCAAAAAAAATAACAAACGATGTTAATTTGAGGGTACGAATATGAAATTTATGAAACAATAATACTACGGACACCGGAAAAGTTGCATCGAAATTTTGTACTGGCCTACGTGTAACACGCGTCTGAATTTTTTTACAATTTTTTTCTAGTGAACGGCCGTCCATCAAATTTGGACGGCCGCTTATATGGACGGGCGTCCATATACAAGGGACGGGCGTCCCCATTTAAAGGACGCCCGTCCATAAATAAAATACAATAAAAAAATTTGCAAAACATTATGGACGGCTGTTCATAGGTTGTGGACGGCCGTCCCTTAATTTTGGACGGGCGTCTGTAAATACGGGACGCTCGTCCATTAAGTTTGGACGGGCGTCCATAAGGAATGGACGTCTGTCCAAACTTAGTTTGTTTTAAAAAATAAAATAAAAAATTTGGACGCCTGTCCATAAATTGTGGACGGGCGCCCACAAATAATGGACGCCCGTCCTTGACCCAAATGTGAAAAAAAAAAAAAAAAAAAGCTTTGGGGACGTTTGGACAGCCGTCCCTAATGTTTGGATGGGCGTCCATTCCGTCCCTTACATTTGGACGGGCGTCCATACTTTTGATAAAAAAAAAAAAATTTAAACAAAAACCCATTCTTCTGTTGCAAAACATCTTCGTCTTCATTCCCCATCTCCTCTCTTTTTCTTCGTCTTCATTGCCAGTGGTGCAGTCCATTTCACTGCCTCAAATAATGACTATGGTGTCTCTCTTTTTCTTCGTCTTCATTGCTAGTGGTGCAGTCCATTTCACTGCCTCAAATAATGACTATGGTGTTAGAGATTTTGATATGGAAAAGTATCAACTCTCTAAGCATTTCCGTTTTCCTTGGCGAGTGAATGTAAGTTAGTTACAATTCAACGTCTCATCTGTCCGTATAGTAGTGGTGCCTTTGTTGACATGGAGGGTTTTGTGCTTCATTTTCTGGGCAATAATGAAGACTTGCAGGCTGAAGCTTTCAATTGAATTTTTTATTTTGTGCTTTTGCAGCATACTTGCTGAGTCCTGATGGGAAACTTCT